ACCTGCCCACCTCCAGGCATCGTTCCCTTGGTTCCACACCTACCCACCTCTAGGCATCGTTCCCTTGGTTCCACACCTACCCACCTCCAGCATCGTTCCCTTGGTTCCACACCTACCCACCTCCAGGCATCGTTCCCTTGGTTCCACACCTACCCACCTCCAGGCATCGTTCCCTTGGTTCCACACCTACCCACCTTGTTCCTTTGTTTCCACTCCTACTCACCTTCAGGCATCGTTCCCTTGGTTCCAGCCCTACCCACCTCCTAGCATCACCTCTTTTAGAGAATATAGAATCAGGTATCATTTTGTGGTGTGAAGTAATTTGTATGAAATTTGTTAATGAGAACTAGAAAAGCAGTAAAATAGATTCCCTGCAGCCAACAACAGTGGACTCCCACACCACTAGACCCCCCCAGCAACAGCGGCTCCCCTACAACAATAGACCTCCCCTCAGGAACAATAGGTTCCCCCAACAACAATGGACCAACTGCAACAAAATACCCCGTCAGCAACAATAGACATATGACAGCAACAGCAAACCTCCCTGCAGTCAGCATCAATAAACCCCGTCCCTCAACAGTAGATCCCTCCCAGTAACAATTGACCCCCCAGCAACATCAGATCCTCCACCGTAACAATAGACCTCACCAGCAGCAATAGCCCAAGCAAAAATAGATCTCTCCAAGGACAGTAGATCCCCTAGCAGACAGCATCAATAGTCTCTGCAGCACACTGCAGCACACCTCAGCACCCTCTGCCATTACATACATTCAGTGCTGGAGGTGCCAGAACTGTGCGTTTCCGCTGAAAAAAAAGCCCTGGTCACTGGGATAGTAAAGGAGGGGAGATCATTCTAATGGAGCTCCAAAAAGCAGAAAAAAACATACAGGGGTTCTGATCCTTCTCCACTTTCAAAACTCAAAAGGAAGTTTTGACTGAGCTTACACTTTAAAGTGGTAGTAATGCCCACTTTGTTTACTTATAAGGGGGTACCACCAGTCCTCCTGCATGAGACCCAAGCCAGCAGGGGGGCCCAGGAAACTAGATGAATAAGATATGGGCAGGAAGGGTGATCAGCACAGCATTGGGGCAATTACTGGAACCAATCCCCTGTATGGCTCTTTCTGCAGCAGCTTAAAGCTGGCTTCTTTTCCTCTCCCTCCCCCTGGCTTTCAGCTGCCGTAGAGAGAGCCATACAGGGGATTGGTTCCAGTAATTGCCCCTCTGCCACATCCATCTCCCTCCCTGTGCATCATAGGTTTCTCCCTGCTGCCCCGGCTCCCCTGTGTGCCCCCACCCCCACTACCGCTTTACTCTTCTCCTTCCCCCAGGTGCAAGCACACAATGGGATCCTTCAGGATGGAGAGTGGGGGAGGGTCCGGTAAATATGTCACATCTACCAGCCCTTCCTTTCCTGAATGAACACAATGAGTGATTGGTACTGATCACTCCCCCTGTGTTCATTCATAATGGAAGCATAGAAAACAGAGGGGTTTTTTTTGGGGGGGGGGGGGCTGTCAGGTTAGTTGTATGGGGCCCTGTGGTTTCTGACAGCAGCCCTGGGTGAGCCTATGATAAGGTTTACCTGTAGATATAGTAAATATCTCCTAATCGTGCACCATTTAGGAGATATTTACAATAGTACCAGCCAGTGGTGTCATCGGCGCATATACACTGCACTCTCAATGGACAGCATGCCATTCATTGAGCGAGGCGTGCCTCCGCCGTGATTCCACAAAGGAGAATGTCACCAGCACACTTAAGATCACCAGTATGGGTCCAAAAGTTTTAATGAAGGATCACATAGTTACAGCAAGGCAACGTTTTAGAGTCTCGCAGGACCCCTTCATCCGGCATGTGACTCACTGAATGCCAAGAATCCCCCAAATTTATCCAAAAGAATCCTGTGTCCCTGACATATTCCGGCAGGTTCTGAACCAACAGATGAAGATGAAAGTCCAGTAGCTAAGCCAAAGGTTGAGTGATTGACCCTGTACAAGAAACAATTGGCCTAAATTTTAAAGAGTTTGTACCCTTGTGAATTTTAGGTAACCATATATCACAGGTAGTTTTGGGCATTCGTCCATCAAGAATTCAGCTGTTCCATTAGAGATCCAGCCATTGGCTCAGCCGTTATTCCCACGCGCAGTGACGTCATCGCAGCTCTGCCTTTCAGTGGTGACAGCACTCCGCTGGAGGGCTTCGTTCTAAGGTAAATCTTTCATAATGTGCTAGTATGCGATGCGTGCGTGCTAGCACATTATGCCATTATCCTGCAGGGGGTCATTTTTTTTTTCTTGCAGTTTTCTACCGATTCAAGTTTCAGTCTCATGGAGTGTTGACAGTTCTGGGAACAAGGGTGACTCGGGGCCCTCCCCTTGCCATCCAATAATCCGATCACTGGTATTAATTATTATTCCCAGAGCCATCTGAGCACCCCTGCTACAACTCACCAGGGACCAGTATGTGAGCATGACCTCCAAAGAGGCACTTGTACTTTCAGATAGACGAGTCTGAGGTACGTCTGGAATACAAAGTTTGGTATTATGTAAGTAACAGAAATAAGATCATTGAGCTCCAAGTCAAGACCTGTAAATGTTTCTTGAACATTAATGTGGGTGTAGTACAACGTATTATAGATGTGTGTAGTCTCCATTAATTTTACTGTTTGTTTAGCGGTGCTTCCTAGCAACGATTGTGGATTTGTGGTTTTAGCTTCTGTGGTTTAGTTAGCAGAGCTCAATTCAAATATAGTAACCAAGCAGGTTTCACCAGCATTACAGATTTTGCCATTACAAATTGTTTGTAAGCCAACTGCGTCTTTTTTCAGTGACCATTTTTCTAATTTTGGATGTGTTCTAGGTGTGTTGCACAATTTGGAGCCTTCTCTTCTGCATCAAATGCAATCTTACATCTTGCACTATGAACAGTTTGTTGTGCCCTGGGCTTGTGACAATGAGGGTGCATTTCTGTCCTGATGCCACCTCTTTGCCTGTAGAGCTCCCTTTGTACTCTTGAATTCATAAATCAGTACACTGCTGGACGGAGATGATGACTCTGTATTGCCCAGAAGAGAAGTTAGGGATGATTTTCCATAGCAGTCTTCATTTTCTGCATTGTTAGTTCTAATGCTGGGCATACACTGAACAGAGTTTTTAGCACCAGATAGATCGTCTCCCACCAGTTGAGTAGTTTTTGTAATTGAGCCACTTGCTGACCGTGCTATAGCCGAATGACAGCTACAGTGCGGTCGTCCAGTTCTGGGCGGGTGTCATGTGACGTCCTCCCAGAACCGCATCCCCCGCGCGCCCGCTGCAACACGTAATCGGCACTCTCTGAGATTGCTGTGTCTTTCAGACACAGCTGATCATATGTCACAGTAAAGGGCCAGTCACAGTGGCTGTTTACCACGTGATCAACTGCGTCCAATCACAGTTGATCACGATGTAAACACACTTGCAGGTTATCGGAAGTACTTTCCTCACGCGTGTGAAAGGACAAATCTACACATCTACAGCCCCAACAGTGCCCATCAATGCCAATCAGTGCCCAGTACTGCTGCCAATCTGTGCCCATGAGTGCTGCCAGACAGTGCCACCTATCAGTCCTGCCTATTAATGCTGCCTATCAGTGTTCTTCAGTGCTGCCTATTAGTGCCCTTCAGTGTTGCCTATTGGAGCCCTTCAGTACCACCTATCAGTGCCCATCAGTGCCGCATATCAGTGCAGCCTCAGCAGTGACTCCTCATCAATGCCCATCAGTGCAGCCTATCAGCGCCAGTCAGTGCTGCCTATCAATACCCATATGTGCTGCCTATCAGTACCCATAAGTGCTGCCTATCAGTACCCATAAGTGCAGCCTCATCGATGCACATCAGGGAAGGAGGAAATTGACCTGTTTGCAAAATTTTATATTAGAAACTAAGAAAAAAAAAAAAAAAAAAAAATTTCAGTCTTTTTTCATTTGTTTAGCGAAAAATAAAACACCCAGTGGTGATTAAATACCACCAAAAGACAGTTCTATTTGTGTGATTTAATTTGGGTACAGTGTTGCATGACCGCGCAATTGTCATGAAAATGCTATTCTAGGATCCTGGCCTGTAAGTCCTTTGTGTACCTCCCAACTTTCTGAGATAACTGACACCTTCAAGCAGAAAATATGTAAGCAAAGAAACCATCCCGCCACCTGCTTCCAAGGTTGTCCAAGAAGAATGACAAAAAAAATGATTGGTGAAACCCACAAGTGCTTTTTTTGTTAAACAATTCTTTTGCTTTATACTTTCAAAATAACATTTGCAGTGGTTGGATAAGCAGTTTAGTGCAGTACAACATCTTTTGGTAGTTAAATAGTACAATTTCATTGAGACTAAACAGAAGGACGTTTGAGGAGGATGGAGGGACAGAGCGATTAGTTTCCAAAAGAGGGAAGGTTGGGAGCTAGCAAAGGTCCTCATGGTTTTGTAACTTCGATTCAAGGAAAATTCTGCATTTAGATTGGCTGAACTCCCAGAGATCTGACTACTTGGTTTGAGGCAGTTACACAGATGGTAGAAAAAGAGGTCAGGAATGGCATCCTCAGTACTTTTGCATTACAGATTTTATTTAGCCCATTAACTGCTAGGGTTGTCATGTCATGGCTATGCCCTCTCAGAGTTGGAAAGCACCGAATGTGTAGGAGTTTTTATAATGAGCAGGGATAGCAGGAAAAATTAATCTCATGCTCACCAATATTATTATGGCTTAGAGCAGGGGTCTCCAAATCTTCTAAACAAAGGGCCCGTTTACTGTCCTTTAGACTTTAGGGGGGCTGGACTATGGCCATTGGGAGTCAATAAGGTCCCAACATCAGTGGAAAAAATGCCCCATATTTGGTGTCAGTGGAAAGAACAGTGCCCTATCATTTGTGTCATTGGAAGGGATTGTTTCCCATAATTGGTTTCAGGTGGTGGTGGTGGTGGGGGGGATAATGACCCATTGTTGGTGTTTTGAGAGAAATTGTTCCCCGTCATTGGTGTCAGCAGGGGGAATAATGGCGCATTGTTGGTATCAGTGGATGAAATAGTGCCCCAAGGGCCGGATAAAAGCAAGTAAAGGGCTGCAGTTTGGAGATCACTGCCTTAGAGTAAACCTTAGAGCCTGTTCACACCAGTTAACATTGCTTTACAATGTGAGTTGTGGTTAGGGGCAGACTGACCATTCAAGCACTCGGGCACTGCCCGAGGGCCCGGGGTCAGTAGGGGGCCCCATGAGATGCCCCTGGTACCTTTCATTGGCTTTTTCATATGCTTTTTTGGGTGTGGGCGAGGACACAGGGGCCCCATGATCCCCTATTGCCCGGGGGCCCCATGAGTTGTCAGTCTGCCCCTGGTTGTGGTGTACTGTAGTGAGATGTAGCACAGATGCACACAATAGATGTTTTGTAGTACATTTCAAAATGAATGGCGCCACAAGGCATTGCACCTTGCTTGGAGGGTTAACATGCACTGTAGTAATGTGCATGTTTTACTTAGCTTCAGGAAAGCTCCCGATCTCTGCTTGCGATCGGGAGCTTTCTGATCATATGAGGTTTTACCCCCCTCCTAAAAGAATGCTTTCAAAAATATATATTTTAATTGTTTATTTTGTATTAATTTACAAAATGCAAAGTGTCCAAACAGAAAAAAAAATTTGGCTTCAAACCAGCACCAATTCTTCTAGGTACCCTTGTGCACACAATTTTTTAAGGAACTCGGCAGGTAGGTTGTTCCAAACATTTTGGAGAACTAACCACAGATCTTCTGTAGACGTAGGTTGCCTGAAATCCTTCTGTCTCTTCATATAATCCCAGACAGCCTCCATGATGTTGAGATCAGGGCTCTGTGGGGGCCAAACCATCACTTGCTGGACTCCTTGTTCTTCTTTACACATAGTCCTTAATGAAATTGACTGTGTGTTTGGAGTCTTTGTCCTGTTACAGAATAAATGTAGGGCCAATCACACACCTCCCTGATGGTATGGCATGATGGATAAGTATCTGCCTGCATTGAGGAAATGTTAGAAATGTTATACACAGATTTTAAAGGGAGTGCTGATTGTCACTTTACACAAGTTGCTAGCAGACTTCAGGAAACGTTCAACAAGTAGTGTACCTACAGGGCTATCAAATTGGAAGCAACATAGGGTTGCTACCTTATCCCTTTAAAACCAAACACATATACATTTCATAGGTTCAGGTTCTAAGGCTAACTGAATGCAGATAAGGCACAAAGTGAGTTTAATTACCACCGTAATCAGCCACAGAACTTGTGCAATTAATATGTGTTTGGTTTTAAAGAGATGATATGGCAACCCTAAAGTAGCAGTTGGTCCATGCAGCGTCCCAATTGAAATGAATGGGACTGCATGGAACACATGACTATCTCTGTCTGGGCAAACGCAGCTCTAGCACCGGATTACATTGTAGTAAGTCTGTGAACAAGACCTTAGAGCAGTAGTTCTCAACCTTCCTAATGCCACGACCCTTTATTTATTTCAGGCACTTATATATCGCCATCAATTTACACAGCGCTTTACATACATATTGTACATTCACATCAGTCCTTAACCCTCAAGGGGTGTACAATCTAAGGTCCCTAACTCACATTCATACATACAGATACATATTAGGGCCAATTTAGACAGGATCCAATTAACCTACCAGCATGTCTTTGGAGTGTGGGAGGAAACTCCAGGCAGGTGGTGCCGTGGCTGGGATTCGAACCAATGACCCTAGTACTGCCAGGCGGAAGTGCTAACCATTTAGCCACTGTGCTGCCCACAGTTCCTCATGTTGTGGTGACCCTCAACCGTAAAATTATTTTCGTTACTACTTTATAACTGTAATTTTGCTAATACTATTAGGAATTGTAATGTAAATATCTGATATGCAGGATGTATTTTCATTGTTACAAATTGAACATAATTAAAGCATGTATCAGTGGGAGGAATAGTGTCCCATCATTGGTATCAGTGGGAGGAATAGTGCCCCATCATTGGTATCAGTGGGAGGAATAGTGCCCCATCATTGGTATTAGTGGGAGGAATAGTGCCCCATCATTGGTATCAGTGGGAGGAATAGTGCCCCATCATTGGTATCAGTGGGAGGAATAGTGCCCCATCATTGGTATCAGTGGGAGGAATAGTGCCCCATCATTGGTGTCGGTTGTGGGGGGGGGGGGGAATAGTGCCCCATCATTGATGTCAGTGTTGGGGGGGAATAGTGCCCCATCATTGGTGTCAGTGAGGGGAGGAATAGTGCCTCATTGTTAGTGTCAGTGGGGGGGGAATAGTGCCCCATAGTTGGTGCCAGTGGGGGGAGGAATAGTGCCCAATCGTTGGTGTCAGTGGGGGAGGAATAGTGCCGCATCGTTGGTGTCAGTGGGGGGGAAATAGTGCCCCATCTTTGATATTAGTGACACCAATGATGGGGCACTATTCCTCCCACTGATACCAATGATACTTACCTTGCTGACCCCTGCTCCAGCCTGGGCTCGCTCCCTCCCATCTACAGCCAGCATACCTGGCTGCAGCAGCACCATCTGCACGGTACAGACACTTACCGGTCAGCTGTCTTCCTTCTCCGGTCACTCTCCTCCTCTTCACTCACTCCGGCAGCTCCCTCACTTGATCTTCTTTGATCTTCGTGCTGCCGCTCCTCCTCTCCAAGCTCCACCTCCTCACTGGTGATTGGCCACCTGTGTGCCTCTCCTGAGCTACAGTTCCGGCAGCCAATCACCGGCGAGGAGGTGGGGCTGTTGAGTGTTCCTGGGGGTGAGGCCAGATGACAGGGACGGCATGTCATTCTGCCCACACATCGTGGTCTGGGGAAATGAAGACACGGGACCCGCCTGGAGACGGATAGAGGAGCGGTATCTCGGTTCCTAAGACCATCGGAAATATGTGTTTTCCGATGGTCTTAAGCGACCCCTGTGAAAGGGTCATTTGACCCCCAAAGGGGTCACGACCCACAAGTTGATAACCGCTGCCTTAGAGACCATACAAAACAACCATCCATATCCATACAAACTATGTGGGCCAAGCACAGGGCCGTGGATAAGGGGGTACCACTGGTCCTCCTGGCCCAGACCAGCAGGGGGGCCCAGGCAGCTGGGTGAATCGGATGTGGGTAGGGAGGGTGATCGGCACATTGGGGGGAGGGGGGCATTTACTGGAACTGATCCTCTGTATGTCTCTCTTTGCAGCACCTCCCAGAGCACCATACATTTCCCCATGCTGCCCAAGCCCCCCCACAATGCTGCTGGCTTTTCTCCTCTCCTTCCCCGCTGCAAACACACTATAGGATCCTTAGGATGAATATGTCACATTTATCAAGCCCTTCCTTTCCTGAAAGAATACAATGAGTGGTTTGTACTGATCACTCATTGTGTTCAATCATAACTGAAGCTTAGTAAACAGTGTTTATTTGGGGGCCCTGTCACAATGGCTGTAGGGGACCCCTTGGTTTCTCACAGCAGCCCTGGCCATGCAGTTTCAGCAACTATAAAGATTGGGGGATGTTTTGCAAACTTTCAAGGGTTTAATATGCATGTGAAAAATAGCAGAAGTGGTTTGGTCCCCCCAGGTGCAAAATGGATAGCAGTATCAGGCAGTGACAGGGTTAAGGAGTAGAAACCGAAATGATTATCTTTGTAAATCGACCCCACTGTGCTTAATTAAAAGTTTCCTCTAAAGGAATTTCTTTATACTGCCTTATTTGTGCATAATGATATGTATGGAAATTCTAGCAACGAAGACTCACTCTCAGTCCTTGGAGATGCTCAAATTAACTCACAGTTCAGAGTCTCGCCCAGAATTAGTTTCTCGCCGTATTGCAGCTAATTGGAGAATAATTAGAGGACCAGTTAGGGACTGGGTCAGGATAACTCAGAGAGAGAGGAAAGTCAGTGAATGGAATAGCAGGGGGGTTTAAGGGATTAACTTGTAACTAGCACTAAGACCACTAAAAGAGATTAAAGAAAACTATGTAAGTTATTTGTAAAGTCCATAACAACTTCATAGATACCAACTTCTTGGACTTTCATTCTGTTTCACAGAAAGGGGTAACATGATGTTAAAAAGGGTCTCTAACTGTCCTTTGGAGTTGCCACCTCATCCCTTTAAACCCAAACACATATTAATGACACAGATTCTGTGGCTGATTAAGGTGCTAATTAAACTCATTTTGTGCCTTATCTGCATTAAATTAGCCACAGAACCTGTGTCATTAATATGTGTCCGGGTTTAACACCCCATTCACATCAAGCCCGACTTTGAAATCGTGCGACTAACAGTGAAGTTGCACGATTTCAAAGTCAGGGGACATGCCGATTTCAGGTGCAAGTTGCAAGACATCTGACACAGATGTCTATGCAAATCGCACCAAATGTACTACTTTAGAAATCAATGCTGTTCTGACCACTGTAATTGAGGACAATAGGGTGCGACTTGGCATGCGATTTGAAAGTCGCATGCCAAGTCGCACCCAGTGTGACCAGGGTCTTAATGGGTGAGGTGGCAACCCTACTGTCCTTATGTGTAACGAAATACCAAGTCTTGCCAGTCTTTCAAGGCTAGGGTGAAATCTAGTATTACAGAAATGAATGACGTGTTTTACGCAATGTCAACGCTCTAGCAGACAGCCAGAGGAGCTAGGATGTACAGTGAAGGAAATGCGTATTTGATCCCCTGCTGATTTTGAATGTTTGCCCACTCACAAAGAAATGATCGGTCTAAAAATCGAATGGTATGTGTATTGTAACACCGAGAGACAGAATAGCAACAAATATGCACTGATTTGCATGTTCATGAGGGAAATAAGAATTTGATCCCCTATCATTCAGCAGGATTTCTGGCTACCAGGTGTCTTTCATACAGGTAACAAACTGAGATTAGAAGCAGTCTCTTAAAGGGAGTGTTGCTAATCTCATTTTGTTACTTGTATAAAAGACACCTATCCACAGGAGCAATCAAACAATCAGATTCCAAACTCTCCACCATGGCAAAGACCAAAGAGCTGTCCAAGGATGTCAGGGACAAGATTGTAGACCTTCACAAGGCTGGACTTGGCTACCAAACTATCGCCAAGCAGCTTGGCGAGAAGGTGACAACAGTTGGTGCAATCATTCGCAAATGGAAGAAACACAAAACAACTGCCAGTCTCCCTAGTTCAAGGTGCACCATGCAGGATTTCACCTCGTGGAGTGTCAATGATCATGATAACAGTGAGGAATCATCCCAGAACTACACGTCGTAAGGATCTTGTCAATGATCTCCAGGCAGCTGGGACCACAGTCACCAAGAAAACTATTGGTAACACACTACACTGACAATGATGCAGAGGAGGACTGGTTGAAAGTGTTGTGGTCAGATGAGACCAAAATTGAGCTCTTTGGCATCAACTCAACTCGCCGTGTTTGAAAGAGTAGAAGGAATGTTGCCTATGACCTCAAGAACACCATCCCAACTGTCAAACGTGGTGGAAACATTCTGCTTTGGGGGTGTTTTTCTGCTAAGGGGACAGGACAACTGCACCGCATCAAAGGGACGATGGATGAGGCAATGTACTGTCAAATCTTGGGTAAGAACCTTCTTCCCTCAGCCAGGGCATTGAAAATGGTCATGGATGGGTGTTCCAGCATGACAATGACCCAAAACACAGCCAAGGCAACAAAGGAGTGGCTCAAGAAGAAGCACATTAAGGTCCTGGAGTGGCCTAGCCAGTTTCCAGACCTTAATCTGATTGAAAATCTGTGGAGGGAGCTGAAAGTTCAAGTTGCCAAATGTCAGCCACCAAACCTTAATGACTTGGAAAGGATCTGCCAAGAGGAGTTGGCTGAAATCCCTCCTGAGATGTGTGCAAACCTGGTGGCCAACTACAGGAAACGTCTGACCTCTGTGATTGCCAACAAGGGATTTGCCACCAAGTACTAAGTCATGTTTTGTGAAGGGGATCAAATACATATTTCTCTCATAAACATGCAAATCAGTGCATAATTTGTTAAACATGCATGTCTTTTGAATTTTTTTGTTACTATTCTGTCTAATACAATACACCTACCATTCAATTTTTAGACTGATCATTTCTTTGTGAGTGGGCAAACCTTCAATCAGCAGAGGATCAAATACTTATTTCCTTCACTGTACGTATTGCAGACTATAGTGAAGGTAGGACGTTGTAATAGGTTGCATGTCTTGCATCCTTTTAGAGCCACAAACTCTGTTAAGGCTCATTCCTATTTTGGAGCATTTTGGTCCTTCTCATTTGTTGTTGAAGTGCTTCTCTGGGCAAACTTATGCAGGCCATAGATGGGGAGAAAAACTGCAGATTTTTCTTTTAAAAAAACGAAAAATCGGTTGTTCAAGTGGCCGACGTTACCATCAATGGTAAAAAAAATTGGCCGATTTTCTACCCGTCTAGAGCCGGCAAAAAGTGTCCCTGCAGAGAGCTCTGCTATTTCTTTGACAGTTCTCTGACAGTTCCTTGACATTTATAGAAGTTGCAACAATGTATCTATTTGTTTCCATTTAGGATACAGATGTTTTTATTCGGAAACAAATAGATACAATGTTTCAACCGCTGTAAATGTCAAGGAACTGTCAGAGAACTGTCAGAAATAGCGGAGCTCTCTGCAGAGACACTTTTTGCTGGACTGGAATTCTTCTTATTTTCATCCTACTTCTTCTTCTTCTCCTCTTCTTCTTCTTCATCCTCATCCTCTTCTTCTTCTTCTTCTTCTCCTCTTCCTCATCCTCATCCCTCTTCTTCTTCTTCTTCTTCTTCATCCTCATCCTCTTCTTCATCCTCATCCTCTTCTTCTTCTTCTTCATCCTCATCCTCTTCTTCTTCTTCATCCTCATCCTTTTCTTCTTCTTCTTCTTCTTCTTCATCTCATCCTCTTCTTCTTCATCCTCATCCTCTTCTTCTTCTTCTTCATCCTCATCCTCTTCTTCTTCTTTCCTCATCCTCTTCTTCTTCTTCTTCTTCTTCTTCTTCTTCTTCATCCTCATCCTTTCTTCTTCATCCTCATCCTCATCCTCTTCTTCTTCTTCTTCTTCTTCTTCATCCTCATCCTCTTCTTCTTCTTCTTCTTCTTCTTCATCCTCATCCTCTTCATCCTCATCCTCTTCTTCATCCTCATCCTCTTCTTCTTCATCCTCATCCTCTTCTTCTTCATCCTCATCCTCTTCTTCATCCTCATCCTCTTCTTCATCCTCATCCTCTTCTTCTTCATCATCATCTCATCCTCATCCTCTTCTTCTTCTTCTTCTTCATCATCCTCTCATCCTCTTCTTCATCTTCTTCTTCATCCTCATCCTCTTCTTCTTCCTCATCCTCTTCTTCTTCCTCATCCTCATCCTCTTCTTCTTCCTCATCCTCATCCTCTTCTTCATCATCATCCTCATCCTCTTCTTCTT